AACACCTAGTATTGCACTTTGAGCCCCGCACTTTAGTTACTGGTTCTGTCAGGAATTAACTGCCTGGTCCCAAGTCCTTGAGCCCTGCACTTTAAGCCCTGCACTTTAGCTACCTGGTTCTATCAGGAATTAACTGCCTGGTCCCAAGCCACTATCACTGCTGCTAGACTGTTTGCACAATAGCACTTTCGATAAACGTGTGATTTATCTGGCCTAAGGCCTATGCTGGGATTTACCATCAAATATCGAGTATTGATGTTCGCATTTGTATTATCTCTGTTGTTATGGTTACTTCAACAGCCTTCTGTCCTCCTCGATAACGCACAAGTGCACTTTATGATCTGTGACACACTGGAAGGATTAAGGGGGATTGAAGGGCAGAACCCACAGGTCCTAGATGCCTACAGTTACAATCACAACAATGTCTGTCGTTATATGCTAACAGCTGAGATAGCAAATGAGGACCAGGGAGGGAATGCTCCCGGGGTAGGGAGGTTCGCAGGTGGGGGGGCTGCTATAGAGGTGGTGACAGGTAGAGGAAGGTACGGGAAAAGGAGATTAAACCATTCATTTCGGCCCAAAATTCACAACAACAATTCGATAAATCTAAAACATATGAAGGATCTGAGACAAAAGCAAATCTGGCCCAAAATCTACAATAGAACATCGGCAATTCCAAAAATTATTGATTCTACAACTCAAAAAACAATTTGGCCTAAAAATAATAAGAATGCATTGGCTACCCCAAAAAACTCTCCCGACAAGATACAGCTGAGATGCCAGGAAGGTGGTCCCTCTGGGTTAAGGATGGTGCTGTTCAATGCCAGGTCGGTCAATGGAAAGACCTCCACTATTCGAGATCTAATTCAGGAAGAACAAGCGGATCTAGCATGTATAACAGAGACCTGGCTAGATGAGGGGGGAGGGGTGAATCTCACCCAACTATGCCCACCTGGCTATTCTGTGCAGCACCAGCCAAGACCCGGAGGGCGGGGAGGAGGAGTTGCAGTGGTCTATAAGGATTTTATCCCCTTGATCAGGCGCCCCATCCCACAATCATCATCATTTGAATGTGCCGGCTTCAGGTTAGGTGACCGGGACAGGATAGGGATTCTGTTAGTGTACCGACCACCCCGCTGCACGACAGTCTCCCTACCTGAGCTAGCAAATGTGGTCTCGGATATGGCGTTGGACTCCCAGCGACTTTTAGTCCTGGGGGATTTCAACGTCCATGCCGAGACCACCCTTTCAGGTGCAGCTCAGGACTTTATGGCCGCCATGGCAACCATGGGCCTGTCCCAATTAATATCTGGTCCCACCCATACGGCCGGTCACACATTGGATTTGGTTTTTACTCAGGGATGGGGTGATAGTGCTGGGGTGGAGGAGCTAACCATCGCTCCATTGCCATGGACCGACCACTACCTGATCAGGTTTAGACTTACTGTACCTCCCAACCTCCGCAGGGGTGGTGGACCCATTAAAATGGTCCGCCCCAGGAGACTTATGGATCCAAATGGATTCCTGACGGCTCTTGGGGATTTTCCCACCTTCCTGACTGGTGATTCTATCGACGCCTTGGTCTCTCACTGGAATTCTGAGATGACCAGGGCAATCGATGTAATCGCTCCGGAACGCCCCCTCTCGAGTAGCCGGGCTAACCATGCCCCTTGGTTCACTGAGGAGCTGGCAGCAATGAAGCGAAAGAAGAGGTGGTTAGAGCGCGTGTGGCGCCAGAATCCCACTAAATCAGCCCAAACACATCTGAATGCCTTCTCAAGGTCCTATGGTGTGGCAATAGTGGCAGCACAAAAAACATCCTATGCGGCCAGTATTGCATCGGCGAAGAATCGTCCAGCTGAGCTCTTTCGAGTTGTCAGGAGTCTATTAAATCCGCCGGAAAGCGAGATCCCTGACAGCTCGGGAGCTCGCTGTGAAGCATTTCCTCGATTCTTCACAGATAAAATTGCGCTGATTCGGTCGGGATTCGACGCCACTTTAAATGCAGTCTCTGAGGATGTAACGAGAGCATCTGCTTGTCCGGTTTTATTGGATTCATTTCAATTGGTTCAGCTTGAGGATGTGGACAGGATCCTTGGGGAGGTGCGACCCACCACATGCATCCTAGACCCCTGTCCATCCTGGCTGATTAAGGAAGCCAGAGGAGGGGTTTGGCAGAGTGGGTGAAAGTGGTGGTTAATGCCTCCCTTCGGGAGAGCATAATTCCAGCGAGCCTAAAACAGGCTGTCTTAAAACCGCTGTTGAAAAAACCATCACTGGACCCCACTCAATTAGACAACTATCGGCCAGTTTCCAATCTCCCCTATTTGGGCAAAGTCATGGAACGTGTGGTGGCAACACAACTCCAGGGATTTCTGGTAGACACTGATTATCTAGATCCGGCACAGTCTGGCTTTAGACCGGGACATGGAACGGAAACAGCCTTGGTCGCCTTGGTAGATGATCTGCGCAGGGAGCTAGACAGGGGGAGTGTGTCCCTGTTAGTTCTGCTGGACCTCTCAGCGGCCTTCGATACCGTCGATCACGGTATTCTTCTGGGACGCCTCACAGAGATGGGACTTGGGGGTACTGCTTTGCAGTGGCTCCGGTCCAGAAGGTGTTGCTGGGTGACACCTGTTCGGCTCCACAGCCGTTGTCATGTGGAGTCCCTCAGGGTTCAATTCTGTCCCCAATGTTGTTTAACATCTACATGAAGCCGCTGGGGGAGATCATTCGGAGTTTCGGACTGAAATGTTATCTCTACGCGGATGATGTTCAGATCTGTCACTCCTTTCCACCTGTCACCAAGGAGGCTGTCCAGACCTTGAATCGGTGTTTAGCTGCTGTGTCGGACTGGATGAGAGCTAACAAATTGAAATTGAATCCAGACAAGACAGAGGTCCTACTGGTCAGTCGTAAGGCCGAACAGGGTATAGGGTTACAGCCTGTACTGGATGGGGTTACACTCCCCCTGAAGTCGCAGGTTCGCAGCTTGGGAGTGATCCTGGACTCATCGCTGAGCCTGGAACCCCAGGTCTCAGCGGTGGCCGGGAGAGCTTTTGCGCAATTAAAACTTGTGCACCAGTTGCGCCCGTACCTCGGGAAGTCTGATCTGGCCACAGTGGTCCACGCTCTTGTCACATCCCGTATAGACTACTGCAACGCACTCTACGTGGGGTTGCCCTTGAAGACTGTTCGGAAACTCCAACTGGTCCAACGAGCGGCAGCTAGACTGCTTACTGGAGCGACATACAGGGAACACACCACCCCCCTGTTATGTCAGCTCCACTGGCTGCCGATTCAGTTCCGAGCACAATTCAAGGTGCTGGTTTTGACCTACAAAACCCTTTACGGTTCCGGTCCAGCGTATCTGTCCGAACGTATCTCCCTCTACGTCCCATCTCGGAATCTGAGATCATCTGGGGAGGCCCTGCTCACGACCCCACCGCTATCACAAGTGAGGCTGGTGGGGACGAGGAGCAGGGCCTTCTCAGTGATGGCCCCTCATCTGTGGAACTCACTCCCGGGGGAAATCAGGGCTTCAACTTCCCTCCTTGCCTTCAGGAGGAAGGTAAAGACGTGGCTCTGGGACCAGGCATTTGGGCACCCTGACAATTAGACATGGAACCAGAATGATAGGACCAACGTGTGGAAAGTAGAACCTAACTATGAATCGGTTAAACGCTGACCAGCAATGAGGTTTGTATTGCTTTTATTGTTTTAATCGTTTTTACGGGTTTATGGCTATTCCTGCCGATAATATTGATTGTTTACGTTAATTGTTATTAGTGTTATAATTACTGTTGTTATTGATGTTATGTTTTTGATGTTATGTTTTTGTAATACAGGCATCGAATTGTGCCTTGTTTGTGTAAGCCGCCCTGAGTCCTCCCGGGTGAAAAGGGCGGGGTATAAGCAACCGTAATAAATAAATAAATAAATCTGCTTGAGGACAGTGTGAATATTGCAATTGGCCACCTTGATTAGCATTTAATGGCCTTGCTGCTTCAAAGCCTGGCTGTTTGCTGCCTGGGAATCCTTTGTTGGGAGATGCTAGCTGGCCCTGATTGATCCATGCCTGGAATTCCCCTGCGTTTTGAGTGTTGCTCTTTGTTTATTGTCCTGATTTTAGAGTTGTTTTTAGAGTTGATAGCCAGATTTTAAATATTTGAAACTGTTTAACTGGAAGAGTGTCCTGAAGATCTCTCTGCCCCAAAGTGTGGTGAAGATTCCTTCTTTGGAGGTTTTTAAACAAAGGCTGCATGGCCATCTGTCGGGGTGCTTTGAATGCGATTTTCCTGCCTCTGGGCAGGGGGTTGGACTGGATGGCCCACGATGTCTCTTCTAGTTCTACGATGCCATGGAAAGGAACCTAGCTTCAAATGGGAAAGTTCACAGTCTAAAATAAGACAAAATAGGGTTATGTGTATGAGGGAGAGGGCTAAGATTTAGAACCCGAGAAAAATGGAAAAGTTATGCAGTTGCCAAGGAGGAGGGCAGGAGGAGGTCCTTCATTTTGAAGGGAGAAGAAAAAGGGCGAGTTGCCCTTCCAGAATGTACCACCGCCGGGCCGTTTTATGCCGCCAGCTTTTTGGCCAGGCTGGGGAGGAAACGAGAGCTGGTTGAAAGCTCTCCGAGGAGGCGTCTCTCCACAACCAGTTCAAAGCCATTGCCGCGCTGGCTCGGCCTGCCAAGGCATCTCTGGAGGCAAACCGAGAGAGCGCTTTCCCTCCCTCAGGCTCAAAGGAATGTCCGTTTTAGGAGGCCGCCTCCACGACTGGCGCTACAGGCTGGCCGCCGCCTGCCCAATCATTGGTTCACACACAGGCCAGAGGGAGAGCCCTCGCCCCCTCCCCCTCCCCGCGCGCGCTCCAAGCCCCTTCCAATGCCCCAACTGGGCCGCCCGGCGGGGTGTCTGCCGGCTGAGCCCGCCAGAAAGGAAGCAGCGCCCCCGCTCCCCGCCCCGCCCCTCTGGTCCTCATGGGCTGGAATGCCCGGACGCGAGCGCGAGGCGGCCCCGAGGGCTGACCGCGGAGCTGGGCCAGAGGGAGGAGGCAGCTGCTTTCTGGGGGGCTGGCCGCTGAGGCCGGAGGGCAGCCCTTCTTCCCGCCCTTCTGCTGCTCCCTCCCTCCCCCCTCCCCTGGAAGACCTGGGCGTGACGTGTGCGGCCCCTCCGCCGCTCCCCCGCCCCTTCCCTTCCCCAGACGGCGAGGCGAGAGGGGAGGAGTGAGGTGCTGCCGCTGCCGCTGCTGCTGAGGAGGAGGAGGAGAGCGGAGAAGTGGCGGCGGAGGCGGTGGGGAGGACGACGACTGGAGGGACCTGCCCTCGCCTCCTCTCCTCCCGTCCGCGCTGGTCGGCTGGACTCGGAAGCGCTCTCCGTCCCGTCTCTGGCGGCCCCGAGAAGCCCCGGCCGCTCGCCCATGGCTTCAGCCACCAGCGGCATGGAGGAAGTGCGCGCCTCGGTGCTGACCCCGCTCAAGCTGGTGGGGCTGGTCTGCATCTTCCTGGCTTTGTGCTTGGACCTGGGCGCCGTGCTCAGCCCGGCCTGGGTCACGGCCGACCACCAGTCCTACCTCTCCCTCTGGGAGTCCTGCACCAAACTCGGACAGTCCGACACCTGGCGCTGCAAGACCACCCTCAACAGCGGTGAGTGAGAGCCCCAGACGCCGGAGGGGAGGGAAGGGGGGGAGAGAAGGAGGGAGGGAGGGAGGGGGTGCGACCTTGCCTTGCCTTCCCCTCTCCCTCAGCCGTGGCTCTTCCTCCCTCCTTCTCTCTCCTCCCTCTCACTCCCGTGGCCTCTTTTTCCGACCCCACCCACTGCAGCAGCGCCCCCGAACCCCCTTTGCAGGGTTTGTCCCCCTTCCCCCCCCATAAGCCCCACTGATCGCCTCCCCCACCCACCCCCACCTTGCCCACTGGGATCTACACCCTGAGAGACCTTCCCCTCCTACCCTCCCCCGTTGCCGTATTAGTTGTATATTTGCATCCTCACCTCTATCTCTTGCCCCCATTGATCTTTGTATTTTTACTGTGTTTGTACCATATACTGAGCCATGAGGAGAGGCAGGTAACGATAACATGTTGTTATTATTATTATTATTATTATTATTATTATTATTATTATTATTATTATTATTTGCTGCACAACAAGATTAGTAAAGAGAAAATAAGATCACTATACAGGCATCATCATCATCATTATGTTTGTACCAGATACTGAGCCGTGAGGAGAGGCACATAATGATAACTTATTATTATTATTATTATTATTATTATTATTATTAACACAAAAAGATTAGTACACAGCAAACAAGATCACTATACAGGCATTGTTGTTGTTGTTGTTGTTACCCTTAGCCCATCCCTTGCCTCCAATCATCCCTCATCCTATCCCTTCCTCTTGCCCCCTCATACCTGCCCCCATCCCTTGTCCTTCATCCCTTACCCTAAATCTTTCTCCCATTCCTTGCCCCATATCCACCCCCTATCCCCTTTACCTCACCTGTAATGTTTTGCTCACATGAGTCCACAAAACTGCTCCTCCCTCCCTCCTTCACCCAGAGAGCCAACCCTCTTGGTTCTCACAGCAAGCTCCTGATTTGCCCCTCCACCTGCTCCTGAGCACTGCACCATTGGCCATGAAGGGTTATCTGGACGGGACATCCCCAGCACCCTTCCTTCTTTATTTGCTCACTCTGGCTTCCCACCAGAGCACACCTATTCCTGAATTGCATTTTTTAAACTCAGTTTTCTGGTCAGTTATCTCCTACTTTCCTAACCAGTCCTTTTCCTCGTCCCAGATTTCCTTTCTTCATCCCCAAACCCGTTCCTATAAGAGTATTTTTTATACCTCTCATGCCTTTCCTTCTCCGAACCCCATAAGCTTAGATCTCTAGTCTGCTGATCTGCATTCTGCTCTTCTCTGCCTTTTCTTCCTGCTCAGGCTGCATTGCTCTCTTTATGTCTGCCTGTATGTTCTCACTGCCTGGCCTTCCACCTCTTCATCTTCGTGAACTCCCAAGTCAACATTGAAATGGTGCCTGTCCAACAGCAGGTTGTTTAGTGTACATCTGTATACACACAAGGCACTCCATAATGCTTCCCCCCTCCTCTGTTTTGGAAACGAATGTATAGCAGAGATTGGAAAATAGTACTGGTTCTTGCAAAGCATTTGCAATGGGTGGCAATTTGGACTTCTGAATTTGTTTATCTGGTTCAGAAAGCAGCTTGGATTTTGTCTGCCTTGGTGTGGTAATGATTCAGGGAGTAGCTGGTGGTAGTTGTCTGTTTAGCTTACTTCTCAGTCTCCAAGCTTCTTCTAGTAGAAAAGTTGTAGCGTTTCCATTGTAACTGAAGCTAACACTAGAAACAACATTCTTGTTTCACTCTATGCTTTAAAACATCGCTTATGCTCCCCTCTGCTGTCTCTGCTGAAATATTTTCCAAGACAACATACGGATTCCCCCCCCCCCTTTTTTTCTCTCTCTCCTAGTTTGTAAAATGCCAATGTGTATTTCTTGGCATTTTTGAGGCAGCAGTTGGTTTCAATTTATGAATGAAAGAAAAAAAGAGCAGTTGTCATTTCATATGGGTGAAATGGTTTCAAGATGATGCACCTCCCTTCACTGGGTGATACCTCAGTTTGTTCTATGTCTCTAAAAAGCCTTTTTGGAAAATCAGAATATTTCCATTACTTGCTTCTATAATCTCCTTTGGAAACATTTACAAGTTAATGCATCTCATACCTACTGAGGCCCAAATCAATTTTTGAATAATTTATTCCCCTTGGTTTTTTAAAAATAGAATTAAAAAGTTGTATTTTTTGTCATGACTGCCTTTTGTATAGTTTTGAATGGGTATGGTTCTTGTCTTTTCTGAAAACGCTGTTCATTGTTCTTGGGGATCATTGCATTGGAACATTGTTCTTGGGGATCTTTGCTTTCTTTCTTTCTTTTTGTAGTTGTTATTACTCAGTTAAGTAACATTTGGATGTCAGAGTGGTGTGCTTTCAATTGCCTATGCTTTTACTTTTTAAATACTAACTTCTTTGTTCAGTTAGTAGGGAGTCTAAGCAAACTTTGTGGGAGAGCTTTATTTTTCTTCCCTCTGTCCCTTCTCTGAAATTTATGTAGGAATTTCAGCTTTGTCCTGTCTCCTTAGCAACAAGAATCCTTTGCCCCCTTTAATGTGCCTCCTAAAATAATATGCCCTTTATTGCGTAAGATCTTTTAGGTGGGTTGTATAAGGGTGGGGTGTGTGTGACCAGGTTTCAATTATACCATCTCTTTTTTTGTTTTCCTTTATATCTTTAACTTCACAAGTATTCTGTGAGGGGGGAGGGAAGAGGGGAAAAGGTTGAATTGTGCATTTTAGAAAGTCTTAGTGACCTCTCTAATTGCTTCTGACATTCATCTACCTTTTCTAAAGGTTTTATTTTTAAAAATAAAACTTTGAATGTGTTATGAATTATTTATTGTTTCTAATTTGGCCACTGCATCTTCAAATTATCAGTAAAAAAGTAGATAAGATTCTTGCTTCCCTGTATTTTCAAGTCTCTTAATTTTAAGGAAATCACAGAGTGAGGTTAGCATTTTTTGTTTTAAAAATAGTCTACTCTAGTTTTACAAACTGTCAGGAAAGAATGCTAAGACTGTAAGAGAAAGATTTTTCATTTCGTTCTGTCATGGCTGGGAGACAGGGTTTCGAAGCTCTCTTGAAATAGCAGTATCTGCATTGTTGATGCTCAAACACATGCCTGTCTTTTGATAGGAGCAAATCCAAAGCACAAACTGTCATAAGGCTCCCGTTACGCTTGTGGAGTAATGGATTGGGCCCTGGATCCATCATGTGGTTTGCTTTCTGCTCTGAGGGAGAGTACTTAGTTGTTAAGAATCTTGTCTGTTTCATAAAACAGAATATTACTATTTGAGTACTCAGTTTTTCTACAATTGAAAACTCATATTCTGAGTTCTCTGGATATTGAGGGTTTACTATGGAAGTCTTTCCATAGCATTGTTTCCTCTACTGCTGTCATTTAAAAGAAATTGATGAAAGAAGAAAAAAATTATAGCACAAGGCACTTTCTCCCACTGTCTTAAAACATTTGCTTCATTGTCCCTTGAAGGAGAGCACCTTAAGTGGCACTATCAAGGACAGGCACACACCAAAGCCTGCTAAAGCATATCCAAGGTTTAATTAAAAACCTTTGTCTTAATTAGACTTTAGGCCCCGGCTGCTCTCAGGGAGGGCAAATCCAGCTGCATTTGCAGCAGAGAATGCCCTCTGAGTGTTTAGATCAATTGTACCAGAAAATAGCCTCATTGTCCAGTTTTGCTAATGGCCAGCATATCCCTTGTTAACTGAACAGTATGCTTTAGTCTTGCAGGTTTTTCTATAATGCTGAGCATCAATATGTTCTGCTAACACTGCTAATACTAAAGTGAGAAAGAGGTTTGTGTATGTATTTTAAATATTTCAGGAGAAGGCTAGGCATATTACAGTTGCTTGGGAACAAGCTTAACAGGCAGTTGTTGTCCATCTTTACAAATAATCTGATAAATAATTAAAGATATAAATATATTTTTCATATGCAGTTTTAAGCTAAGCTTGCACATCCTTTCCCTTCAGAATAATTCCCTTGATTTCTATGGAACTACACTGTAGTGAGACTGTGAAGGATCACCTCTTAAGCCGTTTTTGTTGTTTAGATATTAGGCCTTTAAAGATAGTCATTTGATTCAGTCATACATCAGAGTTGTGAATGTTTATGGGATTTAAAATGTAAAGAATGTGGTCGGTGTCCATGACATACTTGCATAATGTTCCTAAGTGCCATATTGTTGGATCTTATGTTTCTTAATTATGCTTGGCATCCTATAATGCATATCAGCCATAACACATTTGGATTATTTAATTAAATGATAGTTTGACCTTGGGAGTACACATTTTGGCTAAAGCATATACAGCTATATTTATGTCCAAAGCCTTTTGGGAGTTTCCGATGATGTACTGAAAGGAACACAATGCATGAATAAACAGCCGCCCTGCCCCCCCCCCCCCCCCCCCCCCCGGAAGGGTGGGGTACAAATATCTGAAATAATAAATAAATAAACAAACAGTATTCCATTCTTATAATTACAGGGTTTTCCCTCTCTGGTGATCTTTGTTGTAATGTTTATGTAGGGTTCAGATTTATAAACAATAGATTTCTTATAACTTTAGGTAAAATTATCTGCCTGTCTAATCTCTAAATGTAGAATTGAAAAAAAAAATCTTAGCGCAAAACAAATCTCACAATAATGGACTGTTCTGGTTTTAAATATATATATATTCAATATTCACCTTGGTTTTTAATAGTCCCACTTGACATGCATGCTTATTTTGCATGAGAACAGTTGTTCTAAATCAAAATTGACAGCTCAAAAAGAGGTCCCTCCTGGGAATATGTAGATCATGGCTTTTACTGACTTGATAGTGATGGATATTTGCAAATAGCTCAGCAAGACTGGTAGTCACAACGCACTGTTCTTTCTCTGGTTATTGGAACTCTCACAACTAATGTAAATGGTATTTTGATGAAGCTGAAATATGGTGGCTACATGGAATTGAAAAATAATAGCTTCTTTTTTAAAAAAAATACCCTTTTA